AACACCTAACTCAATTGTGTCTCTTCTGCAAAGAAGAAGCAGGTCAGGAGGTTCTTGTCACCTAAGCTCCTACAGGGCTGTGTTTGTGTCCTCCTTGGGCACTTGCCTGCTTCTATTTCATTACACTTTTACTGCTAAACTGAGAGAGGAGACCAAACACAAAGTCTGGGCTCCAAAGTAGTCATTGGATGTGAGCCCCTTGTTTTAGCTACTTCTCATGCCTTATTTTAATTCTGATCTTTTGGGCATATTGTTTTCTAAACTGTGATAAGAAATAAACATACAAGAATATTAAAATCCTTTCTATATTTGACATTTTTAAGGAACAGCCCACACTGTTGCTAGATTTGAATGCTGGCATCTCCATGTAAGAGCTGTGGAATCTTGTGCAAGTTACTTAACCTCTCTGTGCCTATAAAAGAGGGATAATAATAGTCCCTACTGCCAGGATTCTTATGAGGAATGAGTCCTCACAGAACAGAGCATGGACATATGAAATATCAGTATCTTGGCTTTTGTTATTGTTCAAGCTGCATTTCCTATTTCTTGAGGATTTATTCACATTTTTGAATTGCATTGTAACTAAGAGAAAATCCAGAGCTATCAGCACATGTCATGTAGTGAGGCCGATTGTCTACCTACCCATCAGGCACACCAGTGCTATCCACTGGAGAACGATTGCTTTGATCCAGTGGACACTTGGCAGGACAGAATGATGAAAGGAGGTTGGACACTGCAGCACAGTGAAAAGTCGCCTGAAACATGAAGAGCTGACCAGGCCACCCCACCGGTGTCTGCACATCTGTGTCCCCATCTGTAGAACAGGAACAAGAATAGTATTTATTTCATGGGGTAGAAGCAAAGATCAAATGAGATAATACACGTGGAGCATTGAGCATGGTGTCCAGTGGATGCAAGTACTCAGTATAGCTCTGATGTGTTCCTGGCATCCATCTGGGAACATGGGTGATTGTTGTTAGGAGAAGTGCACTGGGTGTCCTGCAGAAGGTGCCCTCCTACTCCCTTCAATTGTGGGGAAATTCATGGTTGGTGCCACTAAGGGAAACTCAACAACAACCTGAGAAAGTATGGTCCCTCTTTTATTAGAAGGACTGGTGAGAAGAGCATATTTTCCCTCTCTGAGCACTGGGAAGGATGGCTAACACTAGCAGCTAGAAGAGTGGTCAGGCTCAGGCAATATGACAGTGACCACTAGCAACAGAAATAGTATAAAATTAATGCCATTAAGATCCAGGCTGGATCCACACAAGAAATCTTTATTATTCACCAAGGAGAGCACGTGACCTCCTGGAGACTTTGCCAGGAGAGAAGAGGTGAGAGCACACATGGTCCTTCCAGGGGGGACTCAGAGCCACGGGTTTATTTGCACATGGTCATTGCATCCTGTGTTCCTAGAGTGAGTCACTCTGACTCTGTAGGCCTGGAGAACCAGGGGTCACACACAGTACAGGATCATAGTCCTGGGGGAAGAAGTTTGCTCACTTGCAAGTGTACCTGCACCTAATGTGTGCATCTGTCTTGTTCCAGGAATCTTCAAAGAAGGGAATTCCACCAGCTTTTCTTGCCATCTGTTACGTTCGTCTCCATTCACACCATTCCTTCTTCATCATGGCTCATGGAAAGCTAAGGTGGTCTGCATTCTCCTTCAGCAAGCTCTCTCAGAAAGCCCAAATGGCACAGTTGTCCTCAGTTAATTTTCACTTTGATCTTAATCTCACTCAAACTCTGGATATTAAAGTAGAAATAATGCTTTGTGACCTTTAACCAGGGCACTGTTGCTTCCCCACCCTCTCCCCTGTGGTTTGGTGAACCACACAGTCTTGTTCTGCAACATCCTTATTTCTGGACTGCTCTTTCCCAGCAGGGAGATGACTAATGCTAAAAGCCATGTATGACACCAAGGTTTACCAGGCACACCAAGTGCTCATTTGAGATGTACTTTCAAATAGTAATATCTGTGCTTGGAACCCAAGGTTAAATTTAGTTACCGAAAGAAGTCCCAACTTTGCCCCACCCCTCTTCAGTGCTGTGCCCTTCTCTTCCTGAGGATGCAGTGAGGATGAGTTCCGAAGTGAGCACGATGGTGCTTCTCAGAGGTGTCAGGCAGAGTGTCACCGAGTGTGGTGACTGGAGGACCTTCTGAGGACAGCCTATTGTGGAGTGGGCTTGCAATGCACTCCTCACCGGCGGAGGCTGTCGCCACTTTTGCTCTGGAGAAAGTGCATTTCAATGGCAGCCTAGGGAGGGGCTGCAGTGGAGGTGGGGATGTCATAAAGAGAACTTTCTTTAATGTTCTCCAGATATTTTGAAATAGGCTTCACTCTGCTGCCATTCCACCTGACGTCTGGGTGGCAGCTCAGGCTTTGAGGCTGTCACTACTCCCTGGTTGTGGCTTGGAGGAGGCCAAGGAACTGAAGGAACTCAAGGGTTGGTTTCACTTGTGTGGGAACAGTGACCACTAGCCTCCAAACTCTCAGCCTCCAAACTCTGTCATAGCTAAGCCCAGTCACTATCCTGACCTGTAAAGAGGAAGAAACTTGGTCAGAACACAACATTAAAGACTGAAGGGGGCCAGAGTAATGGAGAGGCGCAGAAAGAGAGGGGCTGGGTGTTTGGACAAATTCAGGGTGGAGTGATACACTGTGGGGTGGGCTGGACATAGACAGGGAGGACACTTCCGTACAGTGTGCTGTGGGCTATGTCCAGAGAACTCCTAGGGTTTTGGGGAACAGGAGTAAAAGATTAGAGTTATTTTGAAATTCCTTTTGTTGGCAGGACTGTTTGTCGAGCTAATCCAGGAAGGTCCCGGCTCTATAAAGCCACACATTTGAGTGGGTGACAGGCCACTCATCTCCACAGTACAGCCTGGGAAGGGTTTCCACCTGGGCACTGAAGGACAAGAGCCCTGCAAGAAAGGTCAAAGGCTAAGGGGCCGTTGGGGTTTGGGTTCAGTGAACAGGCAAGGGTGAAAAGTGGCAGTGGTGGGGGTGGGAGTGGTGTTAGTTTACGTGTAAACTTCATATTCTTCTGCCAGGAAAGCTGGAGTCCTGGGCCTGACTGCTGGGCTGGGTACCTTCGCTGGGTACCTTCCCTGTATCCTTGGGTTGTCTCTCTTATTGGCACTGGAAATGAGGAGAATGCTAAGGTTGAATGTCCTTTTTATGGCCAGTTTTGGTTGCTGGAACCTTCCTCTTAGAAAAGATACTGGTTCATGACTGAATGATCTCTACCCACAGAGAAAAGCCATCTTCCTCAGAGGGTCTGGGTTGGTTTCTCTTTAAAGCAATGTGTGGCCTCCAAAGGCCCTTCATAAGATGGCTGAGAAAAATCAGAGCGAAAACACTAATGTTTTTCTCTACGTCTCTTTCTCTTCACAGATGAGTTGAAATTCTTGCTTTGGGCCATATGGTGTGGATATTCCAGAAGGAAATTATATAGTGCTCTCTGTTTCTACTCAACTGCTTTTCACTTTGTCAAGTGGACCCTTTGAAGCAGCCTTCTTACCTCAGATTCTGACATGAATAATTGTTTAATTGCCTCTCAGTCTATATAAGATAAAGAACCAGGCCTCAAATTTGTATAATTCTCTTAACCAAACAATAGTGGAACCACCCAGGGCAGGTTTCAAAGAAAGGAAACAATTTCTTACATATGTTAAACATTTTATTTTTTTAAAGTCCTTTGCTCTGTAGTATTTTGTTAAATTGGATAATGCATATGAAGCACTGTGTAAATCATGTAACAATAAAGTAAGATTTTATAACAATTACTGATTTGATTTTCTATATGAAAAGCTGAAGCTCAGAGAAGGGGAGTTACAGCCCCAAATCACAGCAGTTAAGATAACACAGGTGGCCTGTCTCCTTACTCTGCCCACTCTCTCCTCTGTACCAGGCATTCCCCCCACAGAGGCTGGCTTCCGAGCAGACTGGGCTGACGTGGGCCCACAGGTGTGTTTCCGGATCTGAGCTCCCAGGCACTGACCTCGCCGTCTCCCCTTACAGGCTCAGGTGGAGATTTGCCTTTTTCCTGGTTTAGCTGCTGCCAATCACTCTTCAACAGAGCCCTTGCCCTCAAGCTGGGATAGAGGAGTTGCTACATTCCCTAAATTTAAAAAAATATATAGGTTTCTTTTTCTTTTTTTCTAATCCTCACAAGAGTATATGTTTTTTATTGATTTTTTTGGGAGGGAGTGAGTGGGAGAGGAAAGGAGAGAGAGAGAGAGAGAGAGAGAGAGAGAGAGCGAGAAACATGAATGTGAAAGAGAAACATCAACTGAATGCCTCCAGTTCACATCCTGACTGGGGATCAAAGCTGCAACCTAGGTATGTGCCCTGACTGGGAATAGAACCCACAACCTTTTTAGTGTACTAGATGATGCTCCAACCAACTGAGCCACCCAGGCAGTGCTGCTTTTTCTTTAAAAAATAAAACAACAAAAACTATCTCTGAAATAAGGTCACCAACCCATTTCTAGATTTTAAAAAGCTATTAACAAATCCTCATTTTTAGGTAGGATGTTGTCTTCAGCTTCATATGTGAAGGAGATGGCTTTAGGGCATTTCTGAGTGGGGCTGAAGCACCCACCATTCTCCCACCCTCTGCCAAGATGGAGCCTACCCTGGGAGGAAGCAGGACACAGGGCCAATGAATCAACACCAGGAACCCTGTGAAGGTTTTACTGGACAGGGACTGGGCCTAGTGCAGGTCTGTTGGGGTCCAACCCCAGCAGGTCCAGGGGTTTCCAAAGGTGTGGACGGAGTCGGCGAAGAAGAAATGACACGGAAACAGCGTTCAGTTGATCAGCAGCCTAGCCAGGTTCTGTCACCAGGTTCTGTGTTTGTTTTTTTTCTAAATACTTTAATTTGGTTTCAAACATATGTAAGCAGTACACATGTGAGTGAGGAGGCTGCTCAAGCCCGTAGGGGAAAGGTTACAAAAGATACAAATATCCATCTCAAAAGCATGAGGGTCCTTATATCCTTTCTTAAAGAGCATAAAGAGCAAGCACATTCTATACAAATGAGAGCTGTGACAAAGAATTTCAAAGTTCAAGAACTTGTCACAGTATGAGGTATAATAATGGACAAGAAGTCTTACAAGCTTCTCTTGTCCAATACTCACTGAAGTCTCATTCGTTTTTCAGGGGGACCTTTAGTGCTCACTGTCTGTTGGATGTTCTTTGTGGTCTCCTTCTCATCAGACTTCACAGTTTCTGGTGTAGGTTCTGCCTCTTTCTTTGTCTGATCCACTGGGACAGACTTTTCTCCAGACTTTTGCTGCACAAATTTGGGTGGAAATTTTTGTCTGAGGTCTAAGAGTAAAGCATCCACACGTTGCCTCTGGAAAATAGAGCTTGGTTCTTCTTTCCTTTTGGTTTTAGGTTTAACTTTTTCTTGCTCTTCATGATCTTTGAAGTGCCACCAATACCCTTTGGAAGGATGATATCGACAGTATGACATAGCTTCATCAAAAGCTGACTGAATGCCATGCACCGCAGTAAGCACTCTAGAGTTTATAACTGATCCCAAGTCTGGTGCCTGGTAGATCACTCCAGCAATGATATAGTAATCAGCCAGTGGGATAACTTGGGTAGGGGACTGCCGCTGTTGCTTCCGGATGATAAAAAGAATGGGCTCTTGAGCATGTAAAAGGATGTATTCCACTCCAACCATCTGATTTAAGTGTTCTAATGTTAGTCTCTGCATTTTGACCACTTCATTATTACACGTTCTGTTGTAAAAAGGATTACTTCTTTCTGAAAAGTAATCTAGGACACTTCCACTGTTCAAAATGGGGATCCATGTACTGTCAACCAAAGAGATTCCCAGTAGATTATCTTGGATATCCACCGCCGCCATAATTCCAAAAGTGTTCTCGGGTTCTCCTTCCGGTGCAGAGAAGACGTAACCACTATGACGACAGAAGCAGAGGGGTGAAGGTCCTCGGGACCCTGAGGAGAAATGCAGAGGGGAGGACAGTGCGGGACCCACAAGAAGGCAGGGAAGGGGAGGAGGCCAGGAGTGCAGGGGAGCTCCAGGTTCTGTGTTTTATTGTCTTGTTACATCTGTATTTATACCAGTTGATTTTAATCCTATCAATTTCTATTCCAAAGGTTAGGGTGTTTCTTATCTCCATTCCAGGGAGTAAAGATTATGTAGCTTAAGCATGATTGTTCATAGTTAAAGTGATTAACTACCCACCTGGCACTTAGTTAAGGGGTTTATTCCCTCCCTAACTTCAGGGAAAAATCCCTACCTGGGAAAACAACCTTTCTCAGAGAGGTGACCTTGGTTAAAACACATAGGGCCAAGAAGGGGAGCAAATATATTAAGAACAGTATGCCATATACGCCAGGTCCCTTGAAACATATGCTGTGCAGATGTTTCTTCCCTGCAGCGACTGTGTCAAGCAGCAAGGATGGACCGGCTTCCGGCACAGGTCTGCCTCAAATCGGCCACTAGGTAGCATGTGGGCTCTTGACTTTGTGCAGGAAAGATTTCATAACATGAGCCCAGGTGATTTTGAGAATATGTGTATTATAGCTGTGGACAGTGATAGGAAGGAAGGGCTTAGGATACAAGAAGCAACAGAAGAGAGCCTAGATGGAGCTGCTATTAGCTCACTGGAAAGTCAGAGAAAAGGGGGGCCTTAGAGACAGGATCAAAGGGTTTATGAGCCTCATGGGGTCCCTTAGAATTTAGGAGCGAGCAGAGATACAAGATGTGAGTGTGCTCTGTGAGAGTGCATTGTGAGTAGAGTATACTTGTTAAAGCTGGGGACAGTGAAACAAGGAAGGGCTTAAGGTAGAAGAAGCAACAGGAGAGAGCCTAAGCTGAGCTGCTTTGGCTCACTGAGAAGTCAGAGAAAAAGGGGGCCTTGGAGACAGTTTCAGGGGGTTAACCCGGAACGAGCTGCCACTGCCTGCTGCTCCCCTGGTTGCAAGTTGCAAGTCTTATGGGAACCTTTAAAGTTTAGGAGAAAGAGGTTCGAGGCATGGGTGTACTCTAGCGAGAGTGCATCCATAGATCCTATGTCTTGAGGCTTTTTATCATTCTTGGGGGGAGGATCCTAGGGGAGGTCTTGAGGAGGGTCTTAGCAATATTCATTAGCTTTCCAGGTGTGTCCTTCAATATGTTGATTCATCAAAATGTGCACATAGGGGAGTTAGGGTTATTATTTGGTTAGTTTTATTTTCAAAGAATGTCATCTAGGAGGGACTAGGACCTAACTGAGGCCAGTCCACCCCATGGCATTATTAAATATGAAAACCATTTTCTCTTAAGAATTCTTGGTTAGGGAAGACAAAATCTTGTGGTTCATTTGCTGGCTGTGAATTGCTCAAATTATTTGGCCTTGTTTAATTATTTTGTCTCAGTTTCCCTTATTCCATTTGTCAAGGCATTTCCCCTGCTTCTTACTATCCTGTCACAGGGGCAGTACAGGGGAGCCTGAGAGAAGGAGCTGGATGCCTTGAAGAGAGGGTTTCATGGGCATCAAAAGACACCATCAGAGTGAAAGGCAACCTAAGAAGTGAGATTGCAAATCACATATCTGATAAGGGGTTAATATCCAGAATACACAAAGAACTCTTATAATTAGAAAACAATTCAAAAACAAACAACCCCAGTAAAAATTGTGCAAAGAACTTGAATAGACACTTCTTCAGAGAAGATATACAGAAGGCCAACATGCACACGAAAAGGTGCTCAACATCACTAGTCATTAGTGAAATGCAAATCAAAACTACAATGAAATGCTACTTCACACCCATTTGGGTGGCTGTTGTAAGAAAAACAAAAATCTCTTGACAAATGAGAGAATAGCAAGTGTTGGTGAGAATGTGGAGAAACTGGTACCCTTGTTCACTGCTGGTGTGAATATAAAATGGTGCAGCCACTGTGGAAAGCAGTATGGCAGTTTCTCAATAAATTAAACAGAATTACCACAAGATCCAGCAATTGGACTTCTGCGTGTATACACAAAATAATTAAAAGCAGGGATTCAAATAAATGCAGAAGTGGGCAAAAGTGATGCAAGGAGGGCCAATCAGAATGAATCTTCAGACTTTCCTTGGAAAGGCTGGGCAGGGAGGCTGCCTCTTCTCTTCTGGACTAGAATGAGGAAACAGCTGCTGGAAGCCAGAGGGAACCTTAAGGGGAGTAAGCCTTATAAGGTGACACCGAAAAGGGCAAAGGGAAGAGCTAGAAAGAAATTGGATTCTCAGTGACATTGTTGAGCCACTGAGTCAAGCTTTGCCTGAAGTGAGCATTACCTCTAGCACTGTTGGTTACTTGACCTAACAAAATCCCTAATGGTTTAAGCCATTTTTAGTAAAGCTCTCTGTTACTTGTATTCTAACTGATAGAGTTTATTGATGATACATTAGTATACAACTTAACAGTTTAAAAATCACAGTATCCAGCTTCATTTTTACAACAGGGATATTCAGAAATTTATTTCGACAACATAAATGGATCTTGCAAATATTATGCTAAACAAAACAAGTCAGACAGAAAAGTTAAAAGCCTATGTTTTCACTCAGATGTGGGATATAAAACTGAAAGAAACAAATAAAAAATAATAATAATTTTTAAAAAACCCTTATAGACACAAGCAGCAGAATGATAGTTACCAGAAAGAAGGGCAGAGGGTGTCAAATATTTGGTGATGAAAGAAAATTTGATCTTGGGTGGTGGGCACACAATGCAATACACAGAAGATGTATCATAGAATTGTACAATTGAAATCTAGATAAACTTATTAACCCATCTCACCCCAATAAATTTAATTTGAAATAAAAGAAATACAAAAAAGAAAATAGAGACCATGAAGGCATTGCCCTAGGTTAAACATGGTTAAGTAGAAAAGTTATGTGAGGACAGAAGGTATGGACATGTTTTAAAGTTCTCTTCTCAGGGTTTTTTACATTATTTGTCAACCAGATGTAATAAATATTTGTTAAATAAATAAATAAATCAAAGAATAGAGGAGGGATGGTAAAAAGAGTGATAAGTTTTATTTTATTTTTTTGTTTTAATCTTTATTGTTGAAAGTATTACATCTGTGCCTTTTTTCCTCTCATTGAGCTCATCTAGCCACTCCCACCTTCCACCCCAGGCCTTCACCCTAGTGCCTGTGTCCATTGGTTATGCATACATGCATGCAAGTTCTTTGGTTGATCTCTTCCCCTCCCCCCACCCTCCCCTGGCTTCCCTCTGTGGTTCAACAGACTGTTCCATGCTTCCATGTCTCTAGATGTATTTTGTTCAACAGTTTGGTTTTGTTCATTAGATTCCACATATAAGTGAGCTTATGTGACACTTGTCTTTTTCTAACTGGCTTATTTAGCTTAGAATTATACTCTCCAGGTCTATCTATGCTCTTGAAAATGGTAAGTTTTTTGTTTTTTACAGCCGCATAGTTATTCCTGTTGTAAATGTACCACAGCTATTTTATACACTCATCTACTGATAGGCACTTGGACCATTTCTAAATCTTAGTTATTATAAACTAGAGGCCCAGTGCACAAAAATTTGTGCACTTGGGGGGGGGGGTCCCTCAGCCCGGCCTGCGCCCATTCACAGTCCAGGAACCCTTGGGGGATGTCCACCTGTCGACTTAGGCCCACTCCCTGGGGGATCAGGCCTAAGCTTGCAGTCAGACAACCTTCTGGCAGCCAGAAAGCCCTCGGGGGATGTCGACTAAAGGCTTAGGCCCCCAAGGGATCAGATCTAAACCATTAGTTGGACATTCTTAGTGCTGCCACGGAGGTGGGAGAGGCTCCTGTCACCACCACTGCACTGGCCAGCCATGAGCCAGCTTCTGACTGAGTGGCACTCCCCATATGAAAGTGCACTGACCACCAGGGGGCAGCTCCTGCATTGAGCGTCTGCCCCCTGGTTGCCAGTGCTCATCATAGCAACCGGTCATTCTGCCGTTCAGTCAATTTGCATATTAGCCTTTTATTATTATTACTAGAGGCCCAGTGCACAAAAATTTGTGCACTCGGGGGGAGGGTGGGTCCCTCAGCCTGGCCTGTGCCCTCTCGCAGTCTGGGACCCCTCAGGGGATGACCACCTGCTGGCTTAGGCCCACTCCCTGGGGGATTGGGCCTAAGATGGCAATCAGACATCCCTCTGGCAGCCCGGCAGCCCTCGGGGGATGTCCACTTGCCAGCGGGGAGCAGGCCTAAGCTGCAGTCAGACATCCTTAGAGCTGCTGAGGAGGCAGGAGAGGCTCCCACCACCACCGCTGTACTGGCAGCCATCAGCCTGGCTTGTGGCTGAGCAGAGCTCCTCCCATGTGAGAGCACCCTGACCACCAGGGGGCAGCTCCTGCATCGAGCATCTGCCCCCTGGTGGTCAGTGTGTGTCATAGTGACCAGTCATTCCCAGTCCTTCTGCTGTTAGGGTCATTTTGCATATTACCCTTTTACTATATAGGATAGAGGCCTGGTGCACGGGGATTGGGGCCGGCTGGTTTGCCCTGAAAGGTGTTCTGGATCGGGGTGAGGGTCCTGCTTGGGTGCCTGGCCAGCCTGGATGAGGGGATGATGGCTGTTTGCAGCTGGTCACACCCCCTTCAGGGTGGGGGGTCCCTACTGGGGTGCCTGGCCAGTCTGGGTGAGAGGCTGAGGGCCCGTTTTCAGGCTGGGCGGGGTGACTGAAGCTCCCAGCCTCTCCTTTTTTTCTTTTTTTCTTTTTATTCTGGGATTTATTTACCTTCTATGGCTGTCACTGGAACTGAGAGACAGCTTTAGCTCTGAAGCTCGGCTCCAGCTCTGAGACCTTGGCTGCTGAAAGCAGGTATCTGGGTTTGTTTGGCTTCTATAATTGAAACACTGTTGCAGCTTCAGCTCTGAGGCCCGGCTGGCTGAAAGCAGGTTTCTGGGGTTTGTTTAG